GCAATACAGGACAGAAATGTGCTGTAAATTTGTTATTCCATCCAACCAAATTGCTCGTAATAACACTTTTATCGTCTTTCATACTTTGTTACGGAATATTCTCCGAAAGAATGCCAAAAGCATGCACGTACTCTAAATCTAGACTGTGTCCAGATGGCAAGTGTAATAGTAGCATTAAACCAGAACTGAGAGAGAAGCTGCCTTGTACTGAGTCATTCGGACCACTAGCACAGCATTCTTTTTTGCCTTGAATGACATAATCTGTACAGGGATCTTATTTTCAGATGGGTAGCTGTGTTGGTCTGAAGCAGCAGAACAAAGTTTGAGTCCAGTGGCACCTTTAAGACCAACAAAGTCTGGCTCCTATTTCACACCACTACCACCACAGCTGGTGGAAGAAAAATAATCTAGAAAACAATCACCATCAGATAATGGCATGACATCGCTTTCCAGGAAAACCCAAAAGTGATGCCAGTCATCTAGAGGAATTGCCCAAAACACTATGGTTTTACCATAGAGTTTCTGGTGATTCCTAGAAAGAAGTGGCATCGGTTCTGTTTTTTTCCACCAGCACCCTCATATCTCCACATGAGCAACCCCATGTCCCTGCTCTCCTAGTCTCCCACTGTTAGCCAGACTATGCCATACCTGGCAACCCTAGTTGTATAGAATAGCAATAAACTGGTACAAAAATAGTGACAACCACCTGAGACAACAATAACCTGGAAATACGAAGACAGTTTGTTCCCCAGTGTAACTCCATTCCATTACTAACATTCAAGTTAGAAGCCATTTTGATAATTCCTTTAACATTAAACAGGTTTTTTTCTTAATTATCACTGTCTGAATTCCTTTTATGCTATGGAACTGCTCTATAGTGCAATGAATAATCTCCAATAAGATCCTGTTAAGGGATACCGGGTAAGAAAGGCTGCTCCTTCCTTTTAACAGCTGTACAGCTGAAGAAGCACTGGAAGCTGAAGAATTCAATATAATGGATGTGTGGGAATCTTGCTGCCTCAACCCGTGTCAATTACAAAATGCTTTGCAGCCCAGGAAAACTGTGGGCTGCTAAGTATGTGTGCTTGCTTGCTGAATTGGCACAGCGCTTCCTAAGGCATTAGAACGTGGTACTTTATAGAAAGGTGGGCTGGAAGGATGAAAATCCATTATAGATGTGGGAGGAAGGACAATCAAAAGCATTTTTCAACACCCTTGGTTACAATAACCTACCACTGGCTGGGACTTTCCCTTAATGGAGTCTTTAATTTCCAGAGAAGATGATGAAGAAGGAAAAGCCTTTTGCGCTTGTGTGAGAAATATATGTATATAGCCTACTGCCTGAATCTGCTTTTCTTGAAAATTCCACTTAGAAGACTAAGAATGTTGCTCCTTTCTTCCTTCTCTTTGAACAGTTATGCTTCCAGTCTTCATTGTTCTTCCTTAACTCATTTTAACAAAAAAGGAACCCCAAATTATGTTACAAGTCTCACAGTTTTGAGAACCTGATACTTATTTTGTGAGAGTTAAATCCCATCATGAGTGTTCTGGATCATGATTCATTTGCATTGTCCACCTCAGAGCTGAATCACATCCCTATGACCGCCCTGAGCCTGGAAGAGCCAAATCATGCCATTAAAAGGGACTTATTTCCTTTTATTATAATGCATTGCTTAGAAGTCACAGTCATGAGGTTATGCATTTTAGATCTGAAACTTCTGAGTGTACAAACTAGCCTTTTTTTTTGCCTGTGAAAAGTACCATGTATGTTGATGGTGCTGTATAAGTAAAAATAGTTCCAAATCAAAATAAACACACCTAGTACAAGCAAAAGAACTAGCAAGAATACATTGAAATACTCAGAAAAATATTTTTACTTCAAGAAAAGCTATGTCAGAGACCACAACTTTTAAAATACAGAGAACTTACCAGTTTGGCATATCATGTTTGTGTCCTTATTGTATGAGGGTACAGTAAGCGAGACTTTATTATTAACGCCCATTTACTGTCAGTAAAAATACTTACTGTAAATGAGATTTTTTAAATCATAACAGAAAATATCTTTTAGACAAGGACTGGTCTTAGTAAAATTTTATCAGTTTGGGAACTGAAAGTCATTATCTGCACAGACTGCAAAATTATAGCCCAAAAGTGGCTTCTTATCACATTTTGCACCATGCATTATGCTATCAGACTTCAGTTCTCGCCTGGATGCTCTTCTCTGACAGTATGCATGTACCACAAGTGCCTTTCCTTAAATGGGAGTGGAAGCAACTGTACACATGCTTCGTTAATATAAATTCAGTGGGGAAATGATATCCAGGAGGACTACACAGATATTGTTGGATGAGGTGCCAGAATTGGCTTTGTTGATGCTCTCACGGCAGGTTACTTTCATTGCTGCATGTCATTGTGCAGCCATCTGGTTTACATATATCTTTTTTCAGTCTATTTGTTTATTTCTTGTATGGTCCACCTTTCTCACTGAGGCCCAAGGCTGATTACAGTTTTTTTTAAAAAATGCAATAAAACAGTATATTACATACAACAATAAAACTGATTACAAATTAGAGATGATGCAATAAAAACTGTATAATATATGCAATAAACAATCTATATACAACCTGCCCTTGGCAATAGAAGCAGTGACTCCTGGTAGCAGCCATTATAATGGAAACCTCAGTAATAGGGAAAGGTTTCGGGAACCCGGCAGGGCACAATCAGGCTCCAAATCCAGTTTGGCAAATACATTCCTTCACATTTAACAGATGAGATACTTCACTTTTGCTTGAAGACCTTAAATTTCATTTTGCCAAAAAACAAACAAACCTGTTGGTTTTTTATGAAAATATTCTGAGTAAAAATATTCTCACCTGTTAAGTTCTCCATGTTTATGTGTTACATACTTGGTTCCAAGGTATATTGGGGGCAGCCTTCATACATATAAGCCTACTCAGATATTAAGATCTTTCTAGAATTGCCAAACCCCAGATGGGGCCTAGAGTCCTCCCAGAATTGCAACTGATCTCCATACTACAGAGGATGAAATGCCTTGGAGGGAATGGCAGTGTCAGAGGGTGAATTCTGTGGCATTACATCCCTGCTGAGCTGCCTCCCCAGATCCCACCCCCAAATCTCCACGAATTTTCCAACCCACAGTTGGCAGACCTGCATCTTCCTCAGAAGCTGTGCTCTACCCACAGAGCATTCTCAGCAATAGTGCCCCAAAAGTATGGAATTCCTTCCATCAGGGAAATTGCCTATGCACCATAGGTATTGGCCTTCAAGAGCCAGGCAAAGGTGATTTTATTTCAGAGACCATTTGATAGGTATTGTGGATATGTCCTGATGCTGGCATTTTGTAAATATGTATTTGATTGTTGTCGCTTATGGTTTATTTCATTGTTTTTATTGGTTTTTATATGTGATTGTAAGTTGCCTAGAAGACTCTGAAAGGTGGTTTCATAAAATAAACTAGTCTCAGACATCTCCAAATAGAAGATCTATTCACAATCCTCGTGCAAGGCTCAGTTACTCTCAGGGATGTTTAATTCCCCAGGTTGAAAAACAATGTGCTCTTTATTATCAAGTTTTTAAGGACCACCTTAAGGATAGGTAACTAGAAAAGTGCACCAATATCTATAATATCTGCTTCGTTGTTATAAATGTGTTATATACACATTTATAAACTGTTTTGGGAACACTCACAATATAAACATCAATACCCTTGAGATCACAGCTGGTAGCGCTCAAAAGATTACTTATCCAGTGACAAACATTAGTGCCCCAGAGTAGTGAAACAGTGATGTCCAAATCACATTGAAATCAATGGCTTTAAAGTGGTTAGTGAAATGCCTAAAACCACTTGATATCAAAGGCATTAAAATTTTTGCCACATTATTACATGGTATATGCATAAGAAATAATAAAGATGCTACTCACCCTGATGTATGAGGGGGTGTTAAGTGCCATCAAGTTGCTTCTGACTGATGGTGATACTATGAATTAATGTCCTCCCAAAATGTCTTATTAACAGCCATTCTCAGGTCTTGCAAACTGAGGGCTGTGGCTTCCTTGACAGAGTCAATCCATCTCATGTTGGGTTTTTCTCTTCTCCCACTGCCTTCAACTTTTCCTAGCATTATTATTAGGGATGGGTATGAACTGCATTTTTGTGGTTCAAATTGTGGCTGAACCGTGAACCAATATGAACGGGGAAGTTGGTTCACAAATTGAAGCAGTTTGTAAGCCATTTAAAGTTTAAACCCCTACTATCTACTCCCTGCTGCTGTTTGCAGGAAACAGAAAGAAGTGGTTTAATTGGCTCCCAGCCATTTAAACCAAACAGCTGAGCAGCTGTTTTCTGTGAAGAGCAGGAAGCAGGGGTTTAAACCCCTGCTTTCTGCTTGTCACAAACTGCCACAAACTGCATCAAAATTCATGAAAGTTTGTGGCGGTTCTTCAGTAACATTGCTTTGCAAACCACAAACTGCCCAAAAATTCATGACGAACTTTAGTTTGTCAGCCAGTTCGTGTCCATCTTTAATTATGATTGTCTTTTCCAGGGACTTTTGTCTTCTCATAATGTGACTGAAGTACAAGAGTCTCAGCTTAGTCATTTTAGCTTCTAGGGAGAGTTCAGTACTATGCGTAAAACTGTCAGTGAGGGTGATATTCTGGAATCTTGGAGGAAGTGTTGTGTCAGATATCTGAAGGATTACCCATAATCATTCCTCCTTGCCACTAAGGAATAACAAGCAAACCAGTCTAACATGTTCTTTGCCACATGAGTAAATAAAACTGGAAGGTTCCATTTAGATACTTGATTACAAATACAGTTGAATGAATCAACTTTACTAGTGAAGTAAATATATTGTTCATTTTAATAGGTAATTCAGCTTTGCCTTGATGACAGGCACTTGTGGGTTCTAGTTCCAGCACCTTCTTTTTGAACAGGGAACAAATAGCACTCATTCAAAAACCTTTCTCCTCATTTACAGGTCAATACTTCCTATTACTCTACGCCTGGATCTCTGGGGAATTCTACAGCCATTGTTACTTTTCCCCACTTACAGCAACACCTGTCAGTGAATATGTATGTAAAAGAATTCTTATTTCATTTTATGGGGGGAGGGACATTGCTGGGGCTGGGATATGGTTTCCTAGCAACCACAGAATATAGTGAACCTTTCCTCTAGTCTGAACTAAAAGTGGGGCCAAAGCTCTCAGAAATGAAAAAAACATAGGAAAGAGCCAGTGCTGGATCTTGGGGTTAAATTAGATGCTACAACGTGGCAAACGAATCCATGCTGTTTTATTAACTGCAAAGCTCAGTCTCTGATAGAAACTGGTGTCGAGATGAGCTGTTTTTGTGATCTTATGAGCCCATCCATCTCCCATCCCAGAAAGATACTATTTGCCTTTTAGGAAAAACATAAATATGTGTACAAACCCCTGCTGTTACAGGTTTTGAAAGGAATTCCCCCAAATTCTAACATATACGCTTGTGTATTTCTGGATTCTGAATTTATTGCTTCAGGACTGTCATCTCATCTAATTGTGCCTTTTTAGTCATACATTGTTATCCATTCATTCAGTATTCCTAATTAGTTGTCTTTTATTTACCTAATTCACTAGCCCTTTGGAGCATTCTTACACTGTGTCACAGAAGTGTTATTTGAAGAGTCTTTGGACACATTTGTGTTCAGCCAAGAGCAAAACAACATCTCTTAAGATGGTATAAAGCAAATAGTTGTATCCTCATTTTATGATGTGTAACCAGAGCTGTCTCTTCAGACAACATATTTGTGCTTTAATTCCCTGTGTTTCACCAGGTGCGTTGCTTTACACTCCTATACAGCTCATGGTCCAGATGAACTAGAACTGCAAAAAGGAGAAGGCATTCGTATTTTGGGGAAATATCAAGAAGGCTGGCTAAAAGGAATGTCGTTGGTCTCAGGAAAAGTTGGGATCTTCCCTAGCAATTACGTCACTCCATTTTTCAGGTCTGTTATGTGGAGTGGTAGGTATACTTAAGTTGGTAAACACCAAAAGAAGTGAAATTAAGAACTTCCTATGGAAGAACTTCACATTTGATTTGGCCCAGTGTGGCTAATAAACAAAGAAGCAGGAAACAGCCAAAGGCTATAGAACCATTAGATGACAAAAGGTACGAAAGGAGTGCTGAAGGGCGATAAGGATATTACAAAGAATTGCACTGAATTCTTTACATTAGCCTTCATTGTGTAGATGTTAGAGAGACATCCACATCTGAACATTGTTTTGAGAAGTTCACCTGAGGAGCAATTTTAAATAAAGAATGAAAAATAAATGAAGTTTCAGGTCTAATAAGTCACTGATACTATATGGCAGTCACCAGACCATGCCTAAAAAGTAGGTTGTTTCTGATCTTTTAAACACAAATATACAATGGATCATTAAAATCAGCTTCCTTTCAAGAGGTGTGGTAACAAGTCTAACAGAATCCAGGGGAGATCAGGGAAATGATTGACCTATAACTTAATATATGTCCCAAGTGCATTGGTTTAAAAAAGTTATTAAAATTAGAATTGTTGACACATAGAAGAACAAGCCTCATTGAAGAAGAATCTGTGTAGCTTCTGCAAAGGAAAATCATGGTTCACCAACCTTTTTATTATTATTTGATTCTATAATTGCTCTTGCACTTATAAGTGCTCTTGCACTTCCGGAACATCTTAAGTAAACTTAACCATCATGGATAAGAGGAGATCACATCCAGTGTTCCCTCTAAGCTGAGTTGGTGAGCTACCTCACAGCTTTTTAGCCTCTGGCTCACACATTTTTGTCTTAGCTCAGGAAGGATGCCTCCAGAGCAAACTAATTTATGCAGTATCCAAATTGCTTGCTCACAACTTTATGCCAGTAGCTCACACAGTTGATTTTTTGCTCACAAGACTCCACAGCTTAGAGGGAGCATTGATCACATCCTCTTATTAATTTT